GTTTGCCTTTTTCCAAAATAAACCCCCCCCCCCCGTCATCGATACGCCCTTCAAATCCCAAAATACAATCCGTAACCAATCCCCCACCGCTTCAAAAAGCCGCCGGAAGAATGGAAAAGGGGGATTAACATTTTCCCGCCGCCGGAAGAATGGAAAAGGGGGATTAATATTTTTCCCGCCGCAGCGGGCGGGTTTCGCCGCTCCCTTTTCCTGACGTTATCCTTTTCTCCCTCGATTTTTTTATTTATTTATTTATTTATTTTTTAAAAACGTATCTTTTCATTCCCAGGAAACGCGACGTCATGCAGAACATCGTGCAGATCCTGGAGTCGGTGCAGTTGAAGTGGGAACTTTTCCAGAGCTGGACGGATTTTTCCCGCCTCCACCTTTCTAACAAACTGGCCATTTTCGGCATCGGTTACAACACCCGTTGGAAGGAGGACATACGGTACCACTACGCGGAAATCAGCTCTCAGGTACCTTTGGGTAAACGCCTGCGGGAATATTTCAATTCGGAAAAACCCGAGGGTCGGGTCGTCATGACCCGGGTGCAAAAAATGAACTGGAAAAACGTTTATTATAAATTTTTGGAGATCACCATCAGCGAAGCCCGGTGTTTGGAGCTGCACATGGAGATCGATTGGATCCCCATCGCTCACTCCAAACCCACCGGCGCTAACGTCGTTCAGTATTTATTACCGGGAGGGATTCCCAAAAGTCCCGGCCTCTACGCCCGAAGAATGTCACCACAAGCCTTCCTCCCCTCTGGCCGAACGCCGAGACGTCGCCGCCGCCGCCGCCGAAACCCCGGGAGAAGCGGACATCCCTTCTCCTCAAACCTCCCTCCGCTTGGATGTGGAATCCGCTCGGATTATCTACTGTTACCTCGGCATCGCCGAGGTCCGGACCCTCCAGCAGTGCCTGTTTTTACATTTCCAGGCAAATTCCAAAACCTTCAGCAAAGATTGGGTGGGCATCAACGCTTTTTTATCCCAGAACTGCCTGGTGGAACCCGGCGTCTCCCCCAAATCCATCTACATCAAATTCGTGGAAGTGGAGAGGGATTTTCTTTCCGCCGGCTCGTTGGTAGAGTGCCTGGAAAAAGCCATCGGTTATCCCTTAAAATTTAACAACTGAACTTCGTCTTACGGAAAGATTCGGCTTTTTTTTCAACCCGTAAGCCGGTCGTTTTGACATCCCGGTCCTTCCCGGTCCGGCGAATGGGATTTTGCCACCTGGAAAAGGAATTTTTGATCGTATTTCTTTTTAGGGAGAGAGGGAGGGGTGAGGAGGGGAGGGGGAGGGAAAGCAGAGATGGAGCTCAACCGCTCTCTCCTGCCGGAAAATCCCACC